TTTTTAGCTTCTTTATTCGCAACATAGTTGCTTAGAGTTGCAGCTGAGAGGCCGGCAAGTCAGGCGGGGAATTCTCCGTCACTGAAGCAAGCAAGCCTCCCTGTTCGCATCAGCTGCCTGGCTGCCAGTTAATTTGCATATCTCGGCCCTACTCTGTGAGTGACAGGGGGATTAGGCAATGGGAAGGGTAGCGGTCGTACGCCAATTACCATGTTTCTCTTTTATTAGTGTAGATTCCAAGGAGCCTAATCCTAAAGATATGATGAAGGAGGGTTCCATTGAAGTACACGAGAAGGAAAGGCATGATCAGCTCACTTTGGCAGTATCTAGGAGTGACAAATCCCAGATGCTATTTTCTCCCCAAGGACTAACCCAACAGTCCCACCTCTTCTTTTAAATCTCTTGTAAACATCACTCTGACCCTCCTGGCTACAGGGAGAGGAAAAGCCTTGCACAGGTTCAATGGTGAGAAAGTATACATCACCAAGGACAGAATGATGCTAGTGTGGCTAAAGCTGTTATCTTCCCTCTCTCTGCCTAGAGGCTCCTTCCCTTTACACATCACTCAAATGCTCCTAGCTTCACAAATAAAACTCTAATCTTTCAATCCTCTTCCAATCACTGTTTTCTATCCTGTCTTCTGAAAAGCACAGTCCATACCACTTCCTTGTCTCCCATTCCTTTTCAAACACTGCAATCTGCTTTGGATATCACCTCCGAATGAGTCTTCTGACAAAGCTGTTACTGTCTCAATTGCTCAACCCCAAAAGTACATTTTTAGTCCGGATTTGCTTGACTTCTCTGCAACATTCCATGCTACCTACCTTTTACTTCTCTCCCCTCATTATTTTTTTTAAAATATATTTTATTGATTTTTCACAGAGAGGAAGGGAGAGAGACAGAGAGCTAGAAACATTGATGAGAGAGAAACATCGATCAGCTGCCTCCTGCACATCTGCCACTGGGATGTGCCCGCAACCCAGGCACATGCCCCTGACCGGAATCGAACCTGGGACCCCTCAGTCCGCAGGCCGACGCTCCATCCACTGAGCCAAACCGGTTTCGGCTCTCCCCTCATTATTTAACGACAGGAATCCTTCTTGCTCCTGGTTTGCCTCTCAGTTATCTCCCCAGCCTCCTTTCCCTATTTCCCTTAACTGTTGAGATTCTTTAGGATCTCCACCTCCTGCCCTTTTTTGCTTCAATCTGCATCCATTTCCAACACTCGAACCACACTCGCCTGCATCTTCCCTTTTAGCATAGGTCTCTCTCCCCTGCCATCTTCTCTTAGAAAGTCCACCCTAGAGCCCATACTACTTTTCATTAATACTCTACTCCCCACTGAGGTGCTTATCAGCCAGTTTCCAGCTCTGGTCAATGCCATTTCAGCAATAACTTTTCAGTCTTCACCGCCCTGGCTTACTCTCTTACCACGTCTCATCTGGGCCATAGTGAGAAGCTGCAAAGTCTCCCTGCCTCCACTCGGCACCCCTTCACGCTCTTCTCCACTGCTCAGTGTTGCCAGGGTGAACTGACTGTATCTTTCCTTATGCGCTTCAATAGGTCCACCTTCTTAATGCCTTTAGGGTTAAACTCCTCAGAATAGCGTACAAAGCCTTTCATTACCTGTATCCTGCACATCTTTTCAACTCCATCGTTCACCCAGTCGTGGGAACCAGCTTTGCACACACATCTTCCTCTGCTTGGAATACTCTTCCCCTGACAGACTCATACTGATCCTCTGAGAATGGAACTTCGCTCACACACTCCGGGGGCCTTTGCTGACACTCCCAGCACCTGTCTGAGTCGGTGCCTCTTCTCCCTTCCCAGCCCTGCAGCATTCCCAAGCTCACTCAGAAACAGTCAACTACTGTCCGATCCATGCTCTGTTCCCTCCACTGGACTGGCTGCCCCTTCAAAGCAAGGCTTCTTTTTTTAAAATTATTATTACTTTTTTATTGTTGATAGTATTACAGATATCTCCATCCCCTCCTTTTCCCCCCTCCCAACCCTTACACCGCCCCCCGCCCAAGGTCTTCACTAACTTGTCTTTGTTGTTGTTAATCCTCATACAAGAATATTTTTCCCATTGATTTTTAGAGAGTGGAAAGGAGGTAGGGAGGGGGAGAGAGGGAGACAGGCACATTGATTGCTTGCCTTCCATATGCGCCCCAATCCGGTTAGGAACCGAACCTGTGACCTTTCGCTACACAGGCCAATGCTCTAATCACTGAGACACACCAGCCAGGCCAGCAAGACTTATCTTTTACTAGAGGCCTGGTGCAAGTGGCCTGCGGGGATCATGCTGAAACCTGCCCTGTGGGGGTCCCTCAGCCTGGCCTGGGGGGATTGGGCCAAAACTAGCAGTCTGACATCCCCTAAGGGGTCCCAGATTGTGAGAGGGCGCAGGCCAGGCCGAGGGACCCCACCGGTGCACCAGGCCTCTAGCATACATGTAAGAACTTTGGTTAATCTCTTCCTGCCCTGCCCCCTCCCCTGAGATTCATCAGTCTGTTCCATGTTTCCATGCCTGTGTGTTGAGTGTTTGCCCCCCTGGTGGTCAGTGCACGTCATAGCTACCAGTCAAATGGTCCAACAGTCTGACACTTAGCATATTAGCCTTTTATATATATACCAGAGGCCCGGTGCATGAAATTTCATGCACTGGGGGGTATCCCTCAGCCTGGCCTGCGCCCTCTTGCAGTCCAGGACCCCTTGGGGGATGTCCACCAGCTTAGGGGAGTGGGCCTAAGCCATCAGCCTGAGCCTGGCTTCTGGCTGAGTGGTGCTCACCCTGTGGGAGCACACTGACCACCAGAGGGCAGCTCCTGTGTTGAGCGTCTGTCCCCTGGTGGTCAGTGTGCATCATAGCGACCTGTCATTCTGCCATTCGGTCTACTTTCATATTAGGGTTTAATTATATAGGACATAGATATAGATTACTACATTCCCAGCTCCTCTGCACAGTACCAGGTATACAGTAGGCATCCAATAATGCTTGTAAAACGAATCACTGTGTACCTACTGCGATGATCTGTGTCCATTTTACCTCCCCCTTGAAGTGTCCTCCAGCCTGGGAGGATGTCTTTTATATTTTTTCCTCCCCTCTCCAAACTACAGTATATATAGTACTTAATTAAAGGCAGGTGTTCAACAAACACTCGCTGTTTCCAAGTAAACCTGAACCCCATTCCAACACCAGCACCTGCACTCGGGCGCCTTATGAAAGAGCCAGGAAGGAGCCCTCCCCCAGAGGAGCTGTGCCTGCGGTCGCGCGGGCGGCGGCGGGAGGGCCAGGCCAGCTTATCTGTCTGCGAGGGGTACGGCGTGGTGCGGAAGGCTTCTCATTCCTCCCCTCTCCCCCTCGGTTCCATATGCTCCTCCTCCTCTCTGACCCTGTCCCACTTAAGCTCGTGCGCGACGCGCGTCACCTTTCCCGTCGCCTCCACCCCCAACCCGCCGCCGCCGGGGCACACGTCTCCGCCCCAAGCACGCACGCGCAGTAGCCCGCAGGGCCCGGCGCGGCCGCGACCCCCTCCTAAAGCAGGTACACTCTTCTCTCCTCTCGCTGCCTCCCGGCCCACGAGCCTCACCTGCGGCGCTCGTGCCCTCCCCGTCCCCGATCCACTCGGGTTCCGGCGGCTGCTGCTTGGGACCCTTCGGCATCGCGGTGGCAGTTATGGTTACTCTGGCGGCGCCGGGTGCTATTTCCGCTTCCGGTAGCGTGGTTCTCTGAACAGAGGAGCATCTCCACGCCGACCCCGCCCCCGGGTGGCGCACGTACGCGCTTTAGCGTCCTCTTGGGGGCGCGTCTGCCACTGTGGGGGCGTGGCCTGCGCGGGCGGGCGTGGTCTGCGGGCTCCGACCTTGGCAGAGCGTTTTTGAAGGTCTGGGAAGCCACGCTCCGGGGCTCCCTGACGCCGCATCACTAATTTCCGACTACTAGGAAGGAAGGCCTGGACGCACCTTTTTTAAAAAAGTGGCTGCTACTTACGACCAGCCCCTTACGTCTGCGTAGGGACAGAAAGGCGCAGTCCGCCTTCCGAGGCTTGTCGGTCTGGTGTCGAGGTGCCCACTCCAAGCCTGACATGGTGCGGTGGAGTTTAAGCCCCCCTTTTTTGGTAAAAGCTGTCCTAGGTTAGTATACAATAGAATGCACATACAGTAAATTGGCAGGCAAACTGCAAAGCGTCCCCGTTGGTAAGTTCTGGCATATTCACCCACATCAAGGCTTGGTTCACTTCTAACACTACCTCTTAGCTGCTCAGGCTTAGCAGGTGTGGGAGCACGTGCCTGCCAGCCCGTCCTTAAGCCACTAGGTCCTGCCTTTGTCCCCACATGGCCTGAAGTCGCCCTTGTTAAGGGTCAACAGATTAAGTCAGTGTCCGTCCTTACCCTTCTCTCTCCCAGCAGCATGTAATACAAATGGCCACCCCCTCTTGCCTTGTCTTCTTTAGGGACAGGGCTCTCCCCAGGTTTCCTTTCCATCTCAGTGGCTCCCCTTTTCCCTCTCTTCCTGGTGTCTCCTCCTGAAGTCTAGATGTTGAAATATTTTGGGGCTGGATGTGCCCGCAACCCAGGTACATGCCCTTGACCGGAATCGAACCTGGGACCTTTCAGTCCGCAGGCTGATGCTCTATCCACTGAGCCAAACCGGTTTCGGCTGACACCCTTCTTTATCTGGATCTATTACCTATGCCTCATGTCTTTATTTTTTTATATTTTTAAATTTTTAGCCCTGACCGGTTTGGCTCAGTGGATAGAGTGTCGGCCTGCAGACTGAAGGGTGCCGCGTTCGATCCCAGTCAAGGGTACATGCCCAGGTTGCAGGCTTGATCCCTGGTAGGGGGCATGCAGGAGGCAGCTGATCAATGATTCTCTCTCATCATTGATGTTTCTCTCTCTCTCTACCTCTCCCTTCCTCTCAAAATCCATTAAAAAATATATTAAAAAAAAGAAATCTTGCCATTTGTGACAACATGGATGAACCTAGAGAGTATTATGTTAAATTAAGTAAGTCAAACAGAGAAAAACAAATGCTATATGATTTCACTTATATATGGAAAGTAAAAAACAAAATAAATGAACAAACAAAACAAAAACTCAGATTCAGATTCGGAGAACAAACGGATGGTTGCCAGAGGGGCTGGAGGGGGGCTGGGTGGAAAAGGGGAAAGGATTAAGAAATACAAACTCCCGGCACTGGTAGGTGTGGCTGTGGGCTGGGTGTCGTCCTGTGCACCGAAATGTCAGGGCTTGATCCCTGGTAGGAGATGTGTAGGAGGCAGCCAATTGATGTTTCTCTTTCACATCGATGTTTATCTTTCTCTGGAAAAAAAATCAATAAAAAAAGAGAAATACAAACTTCCAGTTATAAAATAGTTATGGGAGATTTAAAGTGCAGCATGGGGCCCTAGCCAGTTTGGCTCAGTGGATAGAGACTGAAGGGACTCGGGTTTGATTCTGCCAAGAGCATATGTCTAGGCTGCAGACTGGAGCCCAGCGTGGGGCGTGCAGGAGGCAGCCAGTCAATGATTCTCTCTCATCACTGATGTTTCTATCTCTCACTCCCTCTCCCTTCCTCTCTGAAATCAATAAAAATATATTTAAAAAATAAAATACCAAGTGTAGCATGGGGAACATAGTCAATATGATAACTCTGTGGTGTCAGGTGTGTACTGGACTTGTGGTGACCCCTTTGTGAGGTATAGAAATGTCTAATCACTATGTTGTGCATCTGAAACTAATATTATTGTATGTCAACTATAATTTAAAATAAATTTAAATAACCAAATAAAAATAATAGCTAAAACTGAAAAGAAAAAAAGAAATCACACCATCTTTTTATTCTCGGGCTAAAACTGAGTCTCTCCATCCCTCCTCCTCATCAGCAAGCCATGTTTGTTTCACTCACTTATTTATTTATTTATTTATTTTCACTCATTTATTTTAAAAATGTATTTCTTGGGTGCATGGGATGTGCAAGGTACCCTTGTACTTAGTTAGGGTCTTGGGATATAACCAAGTAAAGCAAGGATCTCTGCTTATATTGGTAGCAGGGGAGATAATGCTATGGAAAAAAAGAAAATAGACATTAAGGTAAAAAGTATCAGGAGAGCAGGTCATAGTTCTAAATCAGTGGTTCTCAATCTTGGCTGCACATTAGAATCACCTGGGAATCTTTTCAAAAATCCTGATTTTTGGGCCTCATCCTCCAGAAATTCTGTTTCTTTTTTTTTTTTTTAAATATATTTTATTGATTTTTTACAGAGAAGGGAGAGAGATAGAGAGTTAGAAACATCGATGAGAGAGAAACATCGATCAGCCGCCTCCTGCACACCCCCCACTGGGCATGTGCCCGCAACCCAGGTACATGCCCCCGACCGGAATCGAACCTGGGACCTTTCAGTCCGCAGGCCGACGCTCTATCCACTGAGCCAAACCGGTTTCGGCCAGAAATTCTGTTTCTTTGTTACTAATGTTGTGGCCCCACCCCATAACAAAGAAACAGAATTTCTGGAGGATGAGGCCCAGAAATCAGGATTTTAAAAAAGATTCCCAGGTGATTCTAATGTGCAGCCAAGGTTGATTGCCACTGCTCTAAAGAGACTGTTCATGAGGCCTTGGTGAGATGAAATTAAGGCAAAGCCCCGAAGAAAGGGTTTTGGCCCCATGGATTTCCAGAAGAGCCCTCCCGGCAGAAGGGACAGGTTGGGACTCCCACACAGAGGGCCCCGGACGTCCCTGAGGAGCACAGAGCAGAGGCCAGCCCGGCGGGAGGCAGCCAGGGCTGGAGAGGTGAGCAGCGAAGCACAGAGGGTCTGCATTGGGCAGGATCTTTCGGTCATCTTAAGGAACTGGCTTCTACTCTTGACTAAAACAGAAGTCATTACAAGGTTTTGAGCAGAGAAGTCACCTGACCTGGCCTACATTTTAAAAGGATGACTTTGGCCCTGGCCAGTTTGGCTCAGTGGATAGAGCATCAGCCTGCGGACCAAAGGGTCCAGGGTTCAGTTCTGGTCAAGGGCACATGCCTTGGTTGCAGGCTCCTCCCGGGCCCAGACCCTGGTCAGGGTGCATGCAGGAGGCAACCAATCGATGTGTTTCTCTCACTTCAATGTTTCTTTTAATATTTCCCTCTCTCTTCCACTCTCCCTAAAAATCAATGGAAACAAATCCTCGGGTGAGGATAAATGTTAAGGGCCGCTGGCAAAAAACACTCGGTTTAATTACGTGGCTGAAACTCAGAGCGAAGGCAGGACCACGCCCTGGGGGTGGACTTAATCAAGAGATTGGGACGTCACTCAATTTGACTTTTCCGCCCAGTGTTAAGGGGATGGATCTCATGATGTCACCAGGAACTCAAGGCCCACCCAGATGTGATGTAACTTCCTGTTATTGGAGTAATTAATAAACTCCTTCCGGTGCTGGCGCTCTCTCTGCGTCTGTCCCTCGAGTCAGAGGGCATACGCCACACCCAGGCCAAGCTTTTGTTCTATTTTGTCTGTCTTTTCATTTTTCTCTAATCCCAAAAGCACCTCCAACGTCTCTCTCTCTCTCTCCATGCTGGACGTGGAGAAGAGACCCCAGCCCGGCATAGATAAAAAACAAAACAAAAGGATGACTTTGGGTGCTGTGCTGAGCACAGACTGAGGGCATGGGGTGGGCAGGATGGCAGAGGCAGGGAGACCCGTTAGGGCTGACTCTGACCAGGAAGATAGTAGTGGAAGTGGGGCAGGGCTGATTTCTGGATATATTTTTAAAAAAGAGCCTGTGGGTTTGATGAATGAATTGGATGTCAGATATTACAAATTAAGGATGACTCTAAGGTTTCTAAACTGAGCAATTAGAAAGATGAGTTGTCATCACTTGAGACATTAAAACACATCCTAAATCTGCCTGCTTCTCTCCACCTCTACCCCCGAGCAAGCCACCTCTTTCCTGTGACCACAGGAGTGGCCTCCTGACTGCTCTCCCTGCTGCTATTCTCCTTCTCCAGTCTGTCATTCAGTCAGTATAAGTTTTATTTATTATTTTTATTTTGTTTTAATTGACTTTAGAGAGGGAGGGAGGAAGAGGTAGAAAAACATCCCTGTGAGAAACATGAATCGGTTGCCTCCCATACGCACACTGACTAGGGACTGAACCCACAACCTGGGTATGTGCCTGGCCAGTATTCGAGCCCCTCAGGACCTTCCCGTGTACTGGACGAAGCTCCTAGCCATTAAGCCACCCAGCCAGGGCCAGTAGAAATTTTAAAACGTGCACCATTTGCTCAAATCACTCAGAAGAAAATCCCAATGCTATATATGGCCTGGCCCGTCAGGGCTCCTGATCTCATTTCCCAGGCTGGCCTCCCTGGTGTTCTACTTCCACTGAGACGCATTTCCACCTCAGGGCCTTTGCCCATGCTGTTCCCTATGCCGGAATGCATTTCCCTCAACATTCACGCGCTACTTCCTCATTTAGTTTCGGGCTTTATTCCTCTATTGGCATGTTCCCTCCAGCCTCTGCCTTCACTCTTCTTCAGAGCCCTAGGACCGAGATGATGTTACACACGCCCTTCCAGGCAATGGTCCTCAGTAACAGTGCGGTGTGGGCCGGGTTTTGTCTTTTTCAGTGACATACCCACAGCCCCTAAAACGGGGACTGGCTCAGAGGAGGCACTAGTGTTCATTGAACGAGTGAGGCTTCGGTCAGACAACACATACGAAGAGCTCAGTGCGGCGCCGGGCATGCCTCTCTGGCGTCCCTCCCGCCTGGCTCAGCCTCGGCCATCCAGGCTTGGCCATTACTGTCAGCTTTCCTCAAGGCTGAGCTCTGGGCCTCTTCCTTCCACCTGGCATTCTCCTCTCAGGGGACTCCAGCCACAGGTCCTCAGACAGGCCTCTCTGCCCACCCCGTCGCGAGCAGCCCCTCATTAGCCTCTATGTCAGTGGTTCTCAACCTTCCTAACGCCGTGACCCTTTAATGCAGTTCCTCATGTTGTGGTGACCCCCAACCATAAAACTGTTTTCGTTGCTACTTCATAACTGTAATTTTGCTACTGTTATGAATCATAATGTAAATATCTGATATGCAGGATGTATTTTCATTGTTACAAATTGAACATGATTAATCACAAAAACACTATGTAATTATATGTGTTTTCCGATGGTCTTAGGCGACCCCTGTGAAAGGGTCTTTCGACCCCCAAAGGGCTCTCAACCCACAGGCGGAGAACCGCTGCTCTATGCGATACCCCAGCTGTATCCTTTGCGTCATTAATCACAACCAATGTTTGCTTTTGAGGAAAACAGGCCCTGACAACTGGAAAGTAACCTGGTGCCCACAGCCGGCCTTGATGCTCTCATGTTCATTGTAAACCTTGCAGAATGCCAAGGGCAGACATGGTCATTCTGTGAGTGATGAAGACCAAAGTTCATGAGCCTGCTGAAGCATGGACAAAAACTATGTCACCATGTGAGCCATAAATACTCAGCAATACTAAACAGCCCCCTCTTGGCTACAATGAGTGACGGCCGCTTTTTAATTTTATTTTTTACCCTTACAGCTTTATCCATGTTTCTTCCTCCTTCCGGGATGAGATTAAGATGTGCAACCATAGAACTGCCCTGACTTCCAGACAGCTCCCCATCCAGAACAAACCCTGCTTCCTGGACCCTCTCTGTCCCCTGACCCTTTTGTAATGAGTAACCTCTTCAGAGTTATAGACCCAACTTTGTTTGACAGTAGGCGTCCCTGGTGGTCTTTGGTGGAAGGGCACTGCCACTTCCACTCTTACTTTCTACCACAGCCGGGAACGTTCGCAGGGAGGCATCCTACCCCATTGTTACCTGCTGAAAGTCCAACATTTCGCTCAGCACGTGGCTTCCTGGAGCGAGGTACTGGCCACGGGACTCACAGCCAGTGGCATATATCTTGTCGGCTGGAGGAATTCCGTCCAAGACAGCTGGTGTGCGCCGCCCTTCCTGCAGCCTGAGGCTTGCAGCATGGATGAGCACACTGGGGTTCCACTTTGGACTGACCCCAGGGATTGCAGAGCTGAGATCTTGGGGGAGGTAACCCTCAGGGAACTTGTGGTGGAATGATTGCCACACATGCCATGGACCATCTACCTCTCGACTTGTGAAGAATTTGGTTTCTGTTACAATTGAACTTGAAGCTGATAAACTGAGCCATAGTAGGCGCTTAATGTTTACAGAGTGAATAGTGTAACTGTGCTCAGGGCTTCAACCACCACCTATATGCAGAGAATAGGTTTATGCATTTTAATCTGAATCCCAGACTGTATATTCACCTACTTAATATCTCCCCTTTGAAAAGGCAGTCCAAACACAACCATTTCAAAAGGTAGTGGCATCCGGCTGCTTTTCTCAATACCTTTCTTTTTAAAATGGCAGTTAGCCATGCAAGTCAGAACTACTCCGAGAAACCTAAACACTTGCATTATGACCTTATCCAAGTCCCCTTCTCCACCCCACTCCCAGCCCACGCTACCACTGCGGCTCACCTCCAAGCGTGGACAGGTCCCCACACCGAGGTGATCTTTGTGAAAAACCAGTTTAATCTGATCCTGACCTGCCTGAAAGTCTCCTAAGGCTTCTGTCTTTTCTTAAAATTTTGCCTGGACTACTCTCACACCTCACCCCAACTGTCCTTCAGAGCTGGCTGGCCCAGGGGTCATCTCCCAAGGTTCCCTTTATCACATACTCCCCTTCTTCATATCTCACTTTTTTCCCCATAAAATATTTTCATTAACTTCAGAGAGGAAGGGAAAGGGAGAGAAGATACAACAATGATGAGAATCATTGATGGGCTGCCTCCTGCATGCCCCACACTGGGGACTGAACCCACAACCAGGGCATGTGCCCTGACCAGGAATTGAACCGTGGGTGACCTCCTGGTTCACAGCTCGATGCTCAACCACTGAGCCACCCTGGCCGGGCATGTCTTGCTTTACAGCACTATTAGCAGGTCTAACATACACAGTTGTGACCCTTTGGTAAACATGTCTCCCCCTGCAGGTTTCCGATTCATTGGTGTCAGCTCAGGGATTTCTGTTGCCGAGTGCACTGCCTGGCCCAGAGGCACTCCAGACACCGGGCGCCCGTCACCACCACCCGGCAGGTAGAGCAACAGCTTCCCAATTACTCCCACACCTGGCTGGGCTTCCCTCCCACAAAACCTTACCCGTGATGCCACGCGGCCGGTCGTTTGAGGGCCCCTCCAGCCTGGAGGGACCTAAGTGCTGCCTTTCTCCCTGCCCACCTATGAGCCAAGCCAACACAGGTCTCAAGGACGCCCCCGCGCCTCCAGGGATGACCACAGCCCAGGATTCAGGAAGAGGCTTGTTTCCACGGCATTTATTACTAATGTAAAAAACGTTAAAAAGAAACAGAATTCATTTTCAGTTCTCCAACCGTTCTCACCCTCCCTCTTGTCCACACAACTCCTGACCCGTCCTCAGGGCCAGTTCAAGACCGAGTCCGCTCATTGCCGTTTTCACAGAAAACAACCAGCAGCAGTGACGGAGGTGGGGAGAGGGCGGCAGGGCTGTCCAGGTGGAGATGCACAGAATTCACAGGGAAGGCCTGTGGCCTCCAGGGACTGGGCTAAGGAGCACGGCTGTGGAGGAAGAGGTGGGCCCACCAGAGGCTTAGCGCACACCTCCTGGGCCCGGGTCAGACCCGGAAAAAGGGACCCCAGAGGAACTGGGGGCCAGGAGGCAGCCTCGCGGGGAGTTCCCGGTGCTTCCTGTTGGGCTGCGGGGAGCCGAGAGGCACCAGGAGCCTCACTGGTTTTGGCAGAAACTCTAGTGTGGAGAAGCCACAGACAGGCCACGGACACTGAGAACGGCTCCGGGGGTGCGTGTTCACCAAGCAGCGATCACAGCCACGCAACTGACAGAGAAACTACGGGATCCAAGAGCAGGCGAGCGGCCTTTCAGGAGGGACTGTCTGTCATCCAAACTTGACCTGAGGCCAGACAACCTGGGAGTTCCTCAGAGCAGCTGCCAAGGGGGGGCAGGGTTCGCACATGGGGGACTTGAGACAAGCAGCCAGAGGGGTGGGAGGAAACTGCTCCAGGCTCAGGACTCAGGGCAGCAGGCAGCAGCGGGCTGCTGGGCAGACGCACAAGAGGCAGCACCCAGCGGGTCTCCTGCTCCGCAGTCAGTGGCGAGGGGAGAGGACCCAGGAGGAGCCGAGGGAGCAGAGGTGGGGGCCTGAAGGCGAGGCTCTGGAGGCTGGATCAGCAGAAAGAGTGCCCACCTCACCCCAGTGATGAAACACAACTCTGAACCCCAAATGGGGGAGGTGATGAATGGGGGAAGGTGATCCTGACTGAGGGTGGTGGAACAGCTTCACTGTAGTCACAAGGACTCCCTCCAGCTCCACTGGGAAGGCAGTCTCACAGAGGAGGTCCATTGATGTGTGGGTGGTAGAAGGCACAGAGGTCCTCATATCGACAGTGCCCTTTTTTGGCAAAGTGTCGGCAGACTGGGCGGTTAGATTTGTCTGTGAACAAGTGAAAACAAGGCAATTTAAGGTGAGTGAGAAAGCAAACAATGTAACAGAAAGAAGGGCGGTCAGACCTCCTGCTCTCCGCCCTTTCCAGGCACTTTGGAAGGGTAGTCTTTCTCCTGGGAGGAAAACATTCAGAGCGACTCCCACTTCAGAAGGACCAGGGAAGAGTCCTGGTCGCCGAGTGAGGGGGACCCGATGTATACAGGCATTAACAAGGGACCTCACCTTCCATAGCCTGGGGTTCATCTTCCAGGGGGCAGGTCTTCTTGACAAGCGACCAGCTTTTGAGCCTTCGCGGATGTCTCTGTTCTTCGTGAAAGCCTCCCCTGGGGGGACTACCTTGGTCTGGCCCAGGAAAAGGAGGCTCAGCACTGACCCCCCACCAACCGCGACCGTATGGGCGAGACCTGGGCCCGAAGCCTCCCCACGCTGGGCCTCTGCTGTGGGGAGGAGGCGGGAGGCTCAGCAGTGGTGGAATCACCAGTCCCCTTGATCCCGGGGGACCTCTGCGAAGAGCTAGACAGAGAGAGAACCGCGGAAAGGTGATCAATGGCCAACCTGATCCAAAGACGCCCTGATTTTTAAAAATTGAAGTACATTATACACACATACACAAAATACACCAATTTCAAGTGCACAACTCAATTATCACCAAAGACCAAGTAAACACTTGTTTCCACCACCCAGGTGAAGGGATAGAACCTCAACACTCCAGAAGTCACCCCCCTTGTGGGCTCCAATTTGGGCTATAACTAAAATTGCTATGTACATTTTTATACATGTCTTTGTTAACATGTATGCATTTCTGTTGAGTATACACCTGGCAGAGGTATTACTGGGTGCTAGAGTCTATGTATGCTCAAGTTTAATAACGTTCTCCAAAGTGGTTGTATCAGTTCACACCCCACCAGCAGTTCCTCACAACACCGGGCATTGCCAATCTTTTTCATTTTTGGCATCTGCTGAGTGTGAAAAGTTTTTTCGGGGTAAAATGTGTAACATAAAACCTGCCATCTTAACTATTTTTAAGTGTACATCTCAGTAGTGTTAAGTAAATTCACAATTGTGAAACCGATCTCCAAACTTTTTTTCACCTTGCAAAACTGAAACTCTATAGCTACTAAACTCCCAGCCCCTGGCAACCACCTTTCTACTTTGTGTCTATGAATTTAACTGCTTCAGACACCTTATATCAGAGCAATCATATAGTATTTGTCCTTTTGTGACTGGCTTATTACATTTAGCATAATAGTCTCAAGATTCGTCCATGCTGGCATCTTACAGGATTTTTACTTTTGGGGCCACTGTACGAATATACCGTATTTCATTTAGTCAGCTGTCAGCAGGCATTCGGGCTGCTTCCACCTCTTGGCTATTGTAGATGGTGCTGCTATGAACATGGGTGTGCAAGTATCTCTTCAAGATCCTGCTTTCCATAAGTGGAATTGCTGGATCATGTGGTAGGTTCTATTTTAAAATTTGTTTTAAAATATATTTTCATTGAATTCAGAGATGAAGGGAGTGGGAGATAGAAACATCAATGAGAGAGAATCATCAATTGGCTGCCTCCTGCACCCGCCCCAAGTGGGGGATCAAGCCTGCAACCCAGGCATGTACCCTGACCAAGAATGCAATCATGACCTCCTGGTTCACAGGTCAACGCTCAACCACTGAGCCACCCCAGCGGGGCATATTTTTAGTTTTTTGAGCAATCTCCATATTGTTTTCCATGGCGGCTACACCATTTTACAATCCCACTAACAGCGCTCTAGCATTTCAATGTCAAAGCGGCGTGTTTTTATCTTGCATTTACTTGTCAACTAATGATGTTACTGTGCATACGTTTTTGGCAGTTTAGATTTTGGTTTTGATGAGGTGGCTATTCAGTCCTTTGCCCACTTTTCTGACAGGTTGTCCCGAAGAGTTCTTTATGTTCTAGATGAGTGCTTTATTGGTCACATTTATTGCAAACATCTCCTACTGTTCTCATTTTTTTTAATAAAATATATTTTATTGATTTTTTACAGAGAGGAAGGGAGAGGGATAGAGAATTAGAAACATCGATCAGCTGCCTCCTGCACACCCCCTACTGGGGATGTGCCTGCAACCAAGGTACATGCCCTTGACCGGAATCGAACCTGGGACCCTTGAGTCTGCAGGCCGACGCTCTATCCACTGAGCCACACCGGTCAGGGCTGTTCTCATTTCTTAATGGTGTCATTTGATTAACAGAAGTTTATATTTGCTAATGTGGTACCGTTTACAAATCTTTACTTTATGGTCAATGTGTGTTTCCTGTGTAAGCATGCTTATCTATTCTAAGACCATGAGATAGATTTATTTCCTAGATTTCTTTCTTTACCTTTTACACTTAGATCGAGATTTCACTTGGAATCGATGTTTGTATGTGGTATGAACAGGTCAAATTTCATTTTCCCCACGAATACCAATTACTCCAGTCTCATTTGCTGGAAAGACCACTATTTCAGTTCCATCTTCAACATAAATGACATATCCACAGATACGGGGGCCGATGGGGCCCCAATGCTGTTCTGTTGACTTATGCGCCAACACCACCTCGTAACTAGCGAAGAGCCAGCCTTGCCCTCCCACGTCAAGACTGGCTTTGCAATCTCTACCTCGATCCTTTGCACCGCCATACAATAATGCAGGATTCTTACTTCCACAAAGAAACGGCATTACAACTGGGAATGCACGGAGTCTATAATCTTTGAGTTTTCCCATCCGTGAATACACAAAATCTCTTCACTCAGGTCCTGAATCCCCACCTTTTGGGCTTAGTCCCGCCCTTGCTCCCTTCTCCAGGACCTATCAGAGGCGGGGCCCCCTCCTCCTCACCTGACTTGGGGTCACCAGGCTTTCCATTGGCCATGGGGGGAGGGCCCAGAAGGCTGGGTGGTCCTGAGAGTAGACACAAACATGTGGTCATTATAATGAGCTAAGGGACTGACAACCCTGCTCTTATTCTTGGTGGTATTACTCATTTTTCAATCCAACCAGTAAACCCCGGGAATTCGGAGCAGTGTCAGTTTTCACCCATCTATGTGCTCTTCGCTCTGCAAAAGTTTTCGGGATCCACAAAAAGGGGAGACTCGGCCCAGGGGCGCTGCGGACGGATTCCCGGTGCTCTCTCCCTGCACACGCAGGCCCGCTCGCCCACACCCCGCGTCCGGCCACCGCACCCCGCACCCTCTC